TATATGTGTCAAGAATAAAAATTTTTTATTTTTATTAGAAATTATTTTCTTTTTACGAGGGCAAATCAATAAGTACTCGTTTGAAGACAAGTGACATTGCTCATGCAAATTAGCATCGTGTACTACCATCTTTCAAATAAATTTTCAAAGTGATTCATGCAATAGTCTTGATTTGACAGCAATTCGTAGTGAGAGTGTTTGATATTTTCCCATACAATGGAAAAAGAACAATATCGATCCGTGATTCGCTTTTTATTTTTGGATGGAAAACGTGGAAAGAAGTAAAATCGAAGATGGATGCCGTCTATGGGAACCCTTCACCTATGACAACCGTCAGATATTGGTTCAACGAATTCAAACGTCGTCGTTCGTCTGTTTTTGATGAGGAGCGCTCAGGACGTCCGGCAGACGTGGTTACTGAGGAAATCGTTGAAAAAATCCACGTCATAATTCTCGCTGATCGCCAAACGAAAGTGCGTGAAGTAGCAGAGGCCATAGGCGTGTCGTATGGAACGGCATTCAATATTTTGCATGATAATTTGGGAATGAAAAAGCTGTTGGCCCGATGGGTGCCGCGATTGCTCACGGTGGACAACAAGCGAATGCGGCTATCAATTGCAAAGCAATGTTTGGACCTGTTAATATTAATTATTCATCTATATCATTCGAACGAATTTTAACATCCTTGGACTCTACCTATGTTTAAGATACGTTTATCAATAAGCATTTTTTAGATATCGGCTAGCACGGATTGTTGAAGCAGGTACTTTAGACATAAATTTGTATACGAGCACAGAAGAGGCTATATCATATGGATATATTAAGATTTGTGTTATCATGCACAATCATATAATAGATTTAGTATCTCTGAATAATTACATTATCACTTTTGTTGCCAGTTATTTGATATACCTATGCGTTTTGTATTTTTTAATGAAAACCATTTAGTTTGATATTTTTGCTTCTTTTACGTATGTAATGGATTGCATGTGTATAAATTCCATTCAGTTTTTGTCTACATTATTAATATAATAATTAATCTTCTTTTTAAATTGATCTATGTCTTATTCATTATTCTTTGAGATTTATATTTTAACACATGTATCTTTTTATTATTAACTTTATTCATTTTTCTCGGACATGAAGGTATGCTAGACGTATTGAGATTGCAAAAATACGACATCGTATTTTTTTCAACTGGATTTCAATATGATGGGCATGACATTCACAATATTCCAGGTGAGTACAATGATAAGTACACATGTACATTCATGATTATCATTAGTAATAACTCTGTTATCCATACTCTTCCTCGAAAGCTGGCCGGGTCAGCAACTATCAGATTATCCTGACAAAATTTTTGTGTTTATGTAAGTACTTCGCAATGGAGGCATTTTATTACAGTTCAGTATTGACAAATTCTGAAAATAACTGTAAGTAATACCACGCAATTCAGATATTGACACATTCGGCCTATATATGGAATCGCTTTACACACGTTTGCTAGAAATAATTATATAAATAAAAAATAGTCTGATACACATCGGTATTTCAGAACCAATGGAAGGTGGTATCAGTCTTCGCTGAGAGTAAGAAAAGTGATCAATATTATACTAATCAGGAGCTACGCACCAATAAAGATAACTGCGGGCAAACTGTATGCTTTGAACTTGGCAAACTTCACTACAGTAAGATAACGTCTCCAAAAACGAGATCTAACGTCGTATTACCGTAAAGTTTGACACACGGTTTTTTTAAGGTTGTACGCACGTCGTTTTCTTACTTCACTGTCCTTTGTTCTATGCAATGAGCGGAACTTGCTACAACTCAAAGTTATTATTGATGACAACAACGACAAGCAACTGATTTGCTTTTATCTTCTTTTTCATGATGACTCGTGAGTCACAATTGACGATGGCTACGACGATTCGGTAAAGTCGATATACTTAAATATTTTTGGCGCGCGATTAGAGCATTCACGAAAAAAATAAAGTAAAAAATCACAATACATTGTTTAACAGATTAGCGTGATCCGAAAGAATTTTTCTTTACTTTGAAAGCCTATGTAAAGTACTCTTCAGCATTATTACGTTAAAAAGTTTTGGATTTGAGCATGACTTATTCAATTTTGCTCTGGAACTTGTATTGAAAATTATATTATCATGTGTGTCAGGTATAAAAACATTCTTATAAAAAAATTACTTTCTTCTCATGTAAAATATATATACAAACTGTATTAAACAGCTCAATAAGTTTAATAAGAATTGTATTAAACTTATTGAGCTGTCGTCGTACGTTTTTACCTTACATCGGCGTCTACAAACGACTGCTTCGATTACTCCTTACCCTAACTAGCATGTGATAAAGAAATTCAGTAAGTTGAGCGATGATGTACGCAAAATGTCGAATTGCAGTTATTGAGAAGTTGGAATTAAATTTAATTATAGGGAAATGCGATCTAAAAATTTTTTATTAAATATATATTGTTTTTAAGTTACATTAATAAATAAAGTAAATATTAATAAAGCAAAACAATTTTTTTTATGAGTGTCTTAACTGGCACATGTCACACATTATCGCACTTGAAATTAATTACTACACTGAAAAAAAAGATTGGCTGCTGCAGCAAATTAGATGGTAAAATATGGCATCGCATTTTTAATTGACTACAACAGCCAATTTTTGGTTTCTGCAGCCAATTTTTGGTTGTGTTAGCTTATCCGCAATGTCAATAGGATTTCGATTAGCTAACGCAACCAAAAATTGACTGTTGAAGTCATTTAAAAATGCTATGCCATATTTTACCATCTAATTTGCTGCAACAGTCAACCTTTTCTTTCAGTGTAGTAATTCCTTATTAGCTAATAATTTCTATGTGATAGTTCTATTAATAAATTTACTCACTTCAGATTTTATTGAATCATTTAATAAAAGGGCATTGAAAGAAGCAGTTGTTTCTATAAAAGTATGTTCTTAAAAAATCTGATTTCTATTGATTACTAGAGTGAGAAGAATGATAATACGTAAATATATTATCAATTACGGTGAGAAATTTTTGTTACAAAGACCGTAGTAGCATAAAGTATGACGATGACGTACGTAATACCTGAAACAGAATTTTATTTTTATAAAATCATTTTATACGTATGCATACCACAAAATAATTACACTTACTGTATTAAAAGTTATATATGACAATACAACGATTTTACCCATTCTCAGTCCCAATGGTTTTTCACTTCTCATCATTATCATTATAAGAAGCTTTCTTGCTGCTATAGGCATACTATACCATTCAGTATTATATCTGTAAATTTTGCAAACAATCTATTTAAAATTATATTATATACTTATACTTCTGTTTAACATTTCGTTACGTTTTTATAGATTAATGACTTTTTCAAATGTGTTACTTTCAATATTATACAAAACGTACGCAGATTCGAACACTTTCTCGCTGGAATCTATGACTTTCTGACCCTGCCAATTTACAAAGAATATGGTAAATAAAATTCCATTTAGATAAGCAATGAGTTTTACAAGTCGATCAACGTCTTGCACGTTATTTATCACCTACATGATAACGAAACGTATAATTAATAAAATATAATAAATACATCAATTAATACAATAAATACAGTCAGTTATAATTAAATCAATTAATTTTGCTGTTTTTTCATTTAAGTAATTTGTGTGTGATATGAATATATAACATATATATATATATATCCAAGAACTGTGGCAGTTTCTGAATATATTCCTAACTCGAAAAAATTTTCATTAGCTGTATCGAGTACCTGATACCCCAGAAAACTTATAATAAGTACAGCTAATCCTGTCTGTATGGAGAGAGCTAAGCTATATGCTGACTCCACAATGGCAACAAATCTAGCATAGTGTACACAAAAATATTAATTATTTCTTACTATTGCCCACACGAAAGTAACACTCTATACGCCTAAACGTGTACTCACTGCATCGCCTCTGTGTGTCTGCGAATACTGTAGATAATATTTGAGTAACATTTATCCTTTGTCATCCTTACTTTGGAAACTAACGCAATTTCCAACCGAGATCTAAACTCAATATTATTACAAAGTTTACAGGAATAATTTTTGGAACAAATTTTTCAGCAGACAAATTGTTCCTTTTTTGTGTTTTGGAGTGGTATCTTAATAAAAATCATGTATTTAAACCATGATCGTTTACTAAACTTACCTTAAAGCTACGAACAAACCGCAACTGTGTTCGATCACTATTAGATACAGAACATCGGATACAGCTAGTAAGACTGTGTATATAAAGTCACATAAACTACAATGTATGAAAATTGGAACGTAATATGTATCTAGGTCAATCATGTAATTAACGCGATAAGGCAATCCTGTTTGGGATTTCAGCTCTTTATTTGCTAACTCATTAGTCTTGTTGTATTCCACGTAAGAAAGTTTTGTCAATAGTGGTGCAAATAAATAAAGGACAGTATGGCTTAGTAAGAAACCTAAATTACAGGAAAATTTTCATAAATTATCTGTTTTGACATGATATAATTAGTATTACAAGCTATTCCATATCGTAATTTAGTAGTTTTATGCACAGAACAATTTACAAAAATTATATTATGTAAAAAGTCATTTAATGCTATCTTACAAAATGACGATAAACTTCATGCGACTTTAAAAAATTCATGGAACACCGATTTTTTATCATTATTTGTTTCCATTAAGTATACAAATTTTTTCTGAAACATTTTTACCAAAAATACTTGTAACTTTCAAAGTAACCAATTATATTATTTGAATTAAAACATCCCGTAGATTATCAAATGTTTTTAATGATAGGTATATTGTGATATGACTCTCAAAATCATTCAGGAACAAAAATGTATATATTGATGTGCCGAATATTTGGCACTTCACTGTACTGTTAAAGTCACCCGTATAAGCGTAGCCTATCTTTCGTCCATATAGCGCGTGCGAATTCTGTATCTGTTCTTCCTCATCCGACTTCGGGGAAAGACAATACTCGTGCATCTTTATTAGAAGCATTTTGATCTATGACTCGAAAAAGGTTCAGATACAATTTTGCATTACTTTCCGTATTTGCTATTACTTTTATCGTTAGTTATTTATCAGTAGTATTTATCGGTACTATTTATCGATATACGCCGCGATGCCGTCTTTATTTACATACCTGTGGTAATGCATGTATTGTACAGAACGTTTTACTTATAATCACTACAGCGAAAAATAATAGCAGCACAGTATCGAGCAGTTCGAAGGGATCATGCCAGATTTCAATAATACCCAAAATCTGCAATTTCCGTTATTTACAACATTGTGCACACGTCGTGCAACAAATAATTTCAATTGAGATGTCAGAAATAACACTAATTATGTGAAGTGCATTTAAAATTTGAATTTTTGTGCACTTATAATTGTTTTGGAGAAGATGTGTAAAGAGAGATATTTATTTTTCACCCTTTTTTGGAAGATAGAACCATAATAAATGCTATAATAGTGCATGGAATACTGTTTTAAGATTATACTTTATCTTATGTTCATGTATCTTTTACTTGAAATATAAGTCCAGATCCGAGTATAAGCACCATATCGAGATATATCGCGTAACGCCTGTTTCGCGTATGAAAAGGCCATAGACCACTGATGCTTAGTAGTAGTCGAATGATGTTATAATGCGAATCCTGAAAGAACTGATCAATATCACCCATTCTGTCTTTTACTTCCTGCCGTTATTATTACAGAAGCGAAATTCTGTATCTATGTGATACCCCAACTTCAGGAAAGAATATAATTCACATTAATTTCCTATTTACAATTCTGTTTAATGTTGGCAATTGTAAAATCAAAAATACATGTCTGACACATTTATCATTAAAATCTTGCATTGTAAAGTCGCGAGATTATCTTATGTAAATTGCACAGTGATAGAGATAGGGGATAGCCATACTGAAAATGTTATCTTTGTAGATGCGATGCAGATAAAAGAGATATGAAAATTTTATTTCCAAGTAAAGTCGGTCGAGACTATTATGTGAAAATACAGTCGCTTCAGAATTCGTTATATTCAGATATCACAGACTTGTGATGTAGTAGCTTATCAAAGCTTATGAAAAATCTATTGCATACTGCCATTTTTTAAAGTTTTCTATACTTTTATTAAAAATATAAAGGGGGTTCTTTTTCAAAGTGTGCAAGTGCAAGTGTAGGTATTGATTATATTTTATATTTAATTATAATTTTCCAGTAGTCGTCGTATAATAACGTGAAGTGCTCCTTAATATTATTACTTTCTAAACTTTGCGTTTAGCATAATTCATACAACTTTTCTTTGTAACGTGTATCAAAAACTATATATCATTTTATGTGTCAAGAATAAAAATTTTTTATGTAGAAATTATTTTCTTTTTATGTAAAATATTTAATACAAATTGTGTTAAACTTATTGATCTTTCGTTGCATGTTTTATCTTAACCAGCGTCTACACGCTATGTTCACTTACTTGTGTTCAATTACTCCTATAACTCAGCGTGCGATAAATAAATTCGATAATTGATGTAGGCGGCATACTAAAAAAGCATCAATAACGTTGATCTAGCTTTGAAAAGGTCACTCAAGGAGAAGTCCATGTTTTCATCGTATGTCCCGTTTAACACCCTATAACTTTTTGTTTACGCTTTGAATCTTAATTCCACAAATTCAGTAGTTTTTGTTCAAGTAAGCTGAATCCCGTTTCACTCTTATTTTCAATCTACAAGCTGTAAAACTTTTATATGAAGTAAATAACCTCAAGTGACAGAATTTTACATATACCAGAAAAAGTGAATTTTTTAACTTTTTTCTGATTTTCTCGTGAAATCGTGTTTTTCGGGATTTCTTTTTATTAAATTACCTTCGTAATTTGTATCGAAAGTTGTATACTATATGTAGCAAGAATAAAAGTTATTTTATGGAGGAATTATTTTCCTTTCATGTAACATATTTATTACAAATTGTTAAACTCTCTCTTGAGCAGTTATGTGTTTTAATTTATATCAACGTCTATGTACAGTCACTGTATTCAATTACTTGTCCCAATTAGCATGTCATAAATAAATTCCAGTAATTGAATGATAATATACGCAGCATTCTAAATTGCAATTGTTGAACGCTTGTAATTAAATTAAATTATATAGAAATACAATCTAATGATTTTTTGTCATGTGTATTATTCCTAAGTTATATTAATAGAATAATAAACTGATAAAGTAAATATTAATAAAAAGAAATTTTTATAAGTTTCTTTTTATTAATATTTATTTTAATTGAAATATATTTATCAATAGCGCTGTCACACGTCACTGCGCTTGGAAGTAATTGATGTTAATATAAATATTGTAGCTAAAAGTAACATTTTTTTTACGGTTCCATTTTTTTTCCTTGCCTCCCAATTTACAATTTTATTTAATTTTTAGCGAAAGACGTTCTGGAAGGAAAGGAACGCACAATCCTATGAATGTACGTTCTTAAACATTCTCTTAAACATTTTTGTCTAATAGAGTTTAATGAATAATAATACATAACTGTAAATATCATTATATTACGTTCAAAATTGTTATTGCAAAGATCGTAATAACATAAAATATGACAATGATAAACGCAACACCTTAAACAAAAATTAAAAAATTAATTTTTATAAAATCATTGCACGTATACAAAATCATTACACTTACTGCATTAAAAGTTACATATGACAATACAATAATTTTGCCCACTTTCAGTGCCGATGGTTTTTCACTTCTCATCATTATCATTATAAGAAGTTTTCTTGCTGCTACTGGCATATTGTACCACTTTGTATTATATCTGCAAATTTTGCAAGAAATCTATTTGAAATTATATTAGGTATTTATCTGCTTGTTATTTCATTACATTTTTATTGATTAACATAACTCGTGATATACAAATTTGTTACTGTATTATACTATAAAACGTACGCTGATTCAAACACTTTCTCACTGGAATCCACAATTTTCTGACCCTGCCAATTTTCGAACAATACATTAAGCAAAAGTCCATTTAAATAAACAATATGATTTATTCCTCTAGATAAACTAACGTTTTCCATGTTGTTTACTATCTGTTAATCAAACGTAAGTAAATGTTAATTTAGTTAAATTAAAACATAAAAAGGATTCAAAAACAGGGCTGTGAGAGAAAGCGCGATAAAAAGTGTAGTGCAAAAACGTCGTTAGACAACATCAATTTAATTAAAAAATTGTGTTATATATAAACGATCGCTTCGGCTTATATTCAAGCCACTCTCAGCGACGCAGAGACAACATATAATAAAAAAAATAATTTATTTCAATTTGATGCTCAAAATATCGTGGCCAAAATATAATCGACGCGCGTATGTACGTACTTTATTTCGCTCCCATAGCTTTCTCTTTGAGGTTTTGATGTTTTATTTATTGAAAGTTCTTTTAATGATACTTAATTCGTTTACTTTTACGCAATATTTTGTTATAAGTAATTTGTTTGTGTGATGATAGAAGCATATTTTAGAATTGTTATTTATAGTTATAAGAGAATTTTTATTATGCGTACCTGATATCCTAGGAGACTTAAGAGAAGTACAGTCAATGCAATTTGTATAAAAAGAGGTAAGCTATATATTGATTCCACAATGGCAACAAATCTAATATAATATATAGAAATATATTTTTTAATTTGCTATTATTGCTTGTACAAAGATGAAATATAAAACGCAGAGCTGGGATATATAGTTGCACATTTCGGCCAATTTTCAGCTTGGTTCCTGCTCCTCACTTCACCAACCCGCGCGGAGGAGCTGAAAATCCGCCGAAATGTACAACTAAATCCTAGCTCTGTCTTAATAGATACTTACTGCAATGTTTCTATGTGTCTGCGAATACTATACACGATATTCGCGTAAGATTTACCTTTCGTAGACATTATTGTCAATCTTTCGTTTTCGAAAACTAATGCGGTTTCCAATCGATATCTAAACTCAAAATTTTTAGAAACTACAATTTTTTAAATAAGTATTAACAAATAAACCGTTCCATTATTTGCGTTGAACTCAAATATTACAGATTTTGTGTACTTAAATCATAGTCATTCATTAGGCTCACCTCAAAGCTGCGAACAAACCACAGCAATATTCGACCACTGTTAAATATAGAACATCGATTACAGCTAGTAAAGTCATGTACATAAATTCGCTTATACTACAATGTATGAAAATTGGAACGTAATACGTGTCCAAATCAATCGTGGAACTAATGCGAAAAGGTAGTCCTATTTGCACATTATTTGATGTTTCATTAGTCTTCTTGGATTTCACGTACAAAACTCTTGTTAGTAATGTTGCAAACAAATAAAGGATACTATGGCCTAATATAAAACCTAATTTGCACAAAAATTTTCGTAATTCACTATTATTATCAAAAAGATTATAGTATTTCGATATTTTAATAATATTAAAGTTAAAATATCTTCATATTTAATGATACTATAATATACCGAGTGTCTTTCAAAATAATTTATGAATGTAATTTATGTGTAATATACATGAAATTTTATTTTATTGCAGTATATTATTGAACTCGATTATACTATTAGAGTCACACACACCCGTATAAACGTAGCCTAACTTTCGCCCATACTGTGCGTGCCAATTCTGTATCTTAGTTTCCTTGTCCGATTTCGGGGTAAGACAGTACTTTTGCATCTTTATTAGAAGTATTTTTATCTATTTCTCGAAAAAAGATTTAAATGTGAATGAAATATAATTTTGCATTATTTGCCGAACTTATTGTTATTATTTTTTAATTTTTGTATAAACATTTTTGTACGCACCTTTGGTAATGTATATACCGCACATAACATTTTGCTTATGACCAATATAACGAAAAATAATAACGGTAAATTATCGATTACCTCGAAGAAATTGTATCTGATCTCAATTATACCCGCCAGCTGCATTTTTCGTTGATTTTATTATGCACATGTCATATAACAAATAATTTTAATTGAATCCAATCATAATTTATATTATTGATTTAATTTAATTATGTCAATTTTATATTTGATGAAACAGAATAAGATATAAAAATATTTAATTTCTCCAATTTTTTGAAAGATAGCGCAATAAAAAATTGCAATAGTACATGTATACCGTTTTAAAATAATACGTGTTTATTTTCAACTTACCTCTAATATAAGTCCAGACCCGAATAGCAGCATGAAAACTATATATATCGTGTAACGTCTACTTCGAGTATGAAAAGGCCATAGACCACTGATGCTTAATAGTACTCGAATGATGTTGTAATGCGAATCTTGGAAAAACTGTTCGATATCATCCATTCTGTTTCTTATCTTTTGCCGCTACTATTATAAAAGCGAAATTCAATCACCATGAGATATAGATCGTGTCGGTTCTCATTGAGAATTCTGTTTAATGTTTGATTGTCGTGAAATCTAAAATACATGACAAACATATTTGTTGCTAATGTGTTTTGCCGCAGAAAGCAAAATTGCACAGTATAAAGTCGTAAGATTATCTTATAGAAATTGCGTAATTGTAGAGAAGGGGAGCAGTTATACTGAAAATATTGTCTTAGTGGATTCGACACAGACAAAAGAGGTATGAAAATTTTATTCGTAAATTGATTTAATACCAGACTGTTACGAGAAGATGTAACGCTTTAAAACCGGCTACATTAGAAAATGACAGTCTTGTGGAGTATAAACTTAATAAAGGTCTATTGTATATTACCATTGTCGAGGATTTTCTATACTTATGTTTTATTAAAGATAAATAAAACAGAGATGGTTTACCAAAAAGATAAAAGTACAAGTACAAGTATAGATATTTTCGTATTTAATTTTCTCAGAAATATAGATAATTTGCTGTTAGTTAAACAATAAAGCATTATATATTGTTTTTGTATAGATAATAATTTTATATATTTTTTAAAAGAGATATTTCGAAAATTCTAAATTATAGTACAGTTTGTAAAACTGTGAAATACGAAGCGGATGCACGTACGACCTAAAAAAAAGAAGAAATATAAAAAATATTAATTTAAAAAAACATCTCATATAAGGGTATTCATAGTCCGTTCTTATTTTAAAACTATATCTTAAGATGTTAATACGCCTCTGTAATCGACATCTTAAAAAGACTGTACTTAAGACTGTCTTAAATATACAAAGAACCGTCTATGAATACAGTTAAAGAAAATTATGTCAAGTTTTACCGCGCTGAAACTCGGAAAAGAAAGAATCATGATTTTTCCAACAGTCAACGTACAAGGTGAAATACTTCTCAGCATTATCATATTCAGGAGCTTTCTGGATTTAGCCGATGATTCATACCATTCACCTTGGTAACTTATATCAAAAACTTTCTCATTATATGTGTCACAAATAGAAAATATTTAGAGGAGCTATTTTTTGTTACAGAACATTTGCACGAGGCGTAATTTATTGGCTAGTAGCTAGGTATGCTTTCACTTACGTCGATGTGTACACACGACCGCTATGATCGATTACTTGCTGCCCTAACCAGCACACGATATATAAATGCAGTAATTGAGCGGTAATGTACGAGGCATGCCGGATTGCAAGGTGTGGATTGAGAGTCCTAGTAGTCGCCTAAATGTTCATAAAATCGTGCAGTATGTCATCATTATCACATTATTATAATATATATTGATATTATTAAAAATATTTAATGTTATTACGATATGTTAAACACAAACCTGTAGAGCCGACAAAGTCATCGCCAATATGATTAAACCGACTTCGAAGAAAAAAGCTTTTGTGTAAATAGCATCCAAGCATCTCGCGAATCTTGTTTAATGAAAGAGTTTGATAATTATCTCTTATTAACTCTTTCCTTAAATAAAAAAAATTCTAAAAATTTCTTACAATTATGCAGAAGTTATACACACTAACCGTAAGACGTCTTTGTGTTTTTGTATACAATATGTGAAATTTTTGTAAAACTTATCATCTTCCTCGAGTAAAGCGAGTTCCTTATCTTGTTCGATGGACTTTCGTATATATTCTAATCGATATCTAAGAAATGAAACGAATCATTCGAGTTTTTTTACAATGGGATGGCAAGAATTGTAAAATGCTAAATGGGATGAGCCATATCTCATTCAAAAGGAGAGGTTGCACTGTAAGACTAACACTGTAAGAGGGTTTTAAATGTTTTTACGTTGATTTTCATCCACAAAATTGGACGGCAATGTCCAAATTTGTGTATAATAAATAATTAAAACTTCAAGAAATCTTGTTAATTATTGTTACGTATAACAAAAAGTACAGTTATTAGTATTTTTACTTAAAAAGATGTAAGAAAAATAAATTACATTATAAAATATGATTGTTACATAAAAAAATTAACACTGCGGGGATTCGAACTCTCGTTGATCAGATAAGAAAAAGTATAACCGTGCACCTTAATTTATTCAATTACGCCACTTTATTACTTACCTACCAACAGAGTCCTAATACTGTGCAGCTGATCAGGCGCCAAACTGCAATTTTCTCAGAATCAAAAGCACATCCATCCAAACCCTTTTACAATGTTAGTACAGGCAACCTCCAATTTCAAATAAGCTATAGCTCATCCCATTTTACAATTCTTGCCATCTCCTTGTTGAATTAATTTATTGAAGCGATCATTCAAGTCATTAACTCTTTATACACACGATTGGGTTATTTGTGTCCACGGTTGCCAGGTCTCCAGATTTCGACTGGAGACTTCAGTTTTCGGGACCAATCTCCAGTTCTCCAGCAGAAAGATCTCCAGTTTTTCGCTCGCGGGTGGTATCTATTATTTTTACTATCCATGTAATATTTAAATTACGTGGAGAGTAATAAGAAAGTCTGTGATTATGTTTGCAGTTTATTTTACGAATAATAAAAAAGTTTGTAATTGTGTTCGCACTGTATGTAATCTTGTAATAATAATAAAAAGGTCTCTGTGATTGTGTTGACACTTTATGTTGGTCAAATATTAATAACAAAAAGAAAGTCTGTAACAGCGATCGCAAAACATGAATTAAATCCTGCGCCTTTTTCTTCTTTTTTTTTTAATGAAACAATCGACCAGCCTCCAGTCGAAATATGAAATCTCCAGCGCACGGACCTTCGAACCCCAGCCGTACATTGCTCGGGACCTGGCAACCGTATTTGTGTCCTGCACATTTTTTTAACTAGGAGCATTAAGTAATTAGTTATAACATTATATATATAATTTTTTAAAAATATATAACCTTATAAATAGATACATTTTAAAGATATTGAAATATATGTGGAGGGGGAGGTAAAAATCACTTAATGATTTTTGTATATTGTTAAAGTGATGAAAATTAATTTGAGACTTGAAAGACCTATCGTGTAGTAGAGGATTGGAAAATTATCGTGTGTACTAATAATAAGTTAAATACCTGACGACTGAAAACAGTGCGCAACAATGTTGCACCAGAATAGTCACGAAGGTATCGGTCGCGACTAGGGTAGTAAGACGAATAGCAGTAGTTAAGTAATTATGAATCAGTACGGGATAGTAGTATTTATCGAGATCTACGTAGTATTCCACATGATATGGAAATCCCACTGGCCGCGTCGAATATTCAGAAGTTACGTTTTTGCCGATTATTTTCGGGATTATTGCGAGAAACGGAAAAAGACTACCAAACGCATACATACCACCTAGAATCAAGCAATACTTCAAAAGAAGTTGCATATTTGTATACTTGGAAATACTGTTGAGTACCCGAAAATATTTATATAAAAATGAATGCGACTTAATTATTTTTTTCGTTAAATAAACTATAATTTTTGAGTATATATAAATTAATTTTTAATATCTTATTGTGTAGAGCTGTCATACATCATGCAAACATAAAATTAATTGTTATTAATGTAATTATTAACTAAAATATTTTTTATGATCAATCAATTTTAATACATAATATAATATAATATAATAGTCGTTATTTCAATTTCTTACCGGCATAAGCGACGGTAATGCTTCTTCCACTCTCCGCAAATCTATGCAAAATTTCGAATTCACTTTTGATAGTCCATGATCGCCAATCCCTTTGTATATGTATAAGAAGTATTTTGATCTACGACTTAAAATTCCATTTTTTTTACAAATGTGATCTCGTACTTAATACCATGATCTTCTATATACCTTCTCTATATTGCACGCTAAATTCACCAGCTTAGTGACGCACACGAAGTCTATCATAAGCGGTGGTATACACTCGATAATTGCATCAAAATCGCCACGTAACGTCACTAAAGCGAGTACCTTGAATCCAATACTTTCTTTGATAAAGAGATTAAAATATAAAAAATAGGGTAACTCCGGTATACGCCGCATCTATTAAAAACTTAATTTATTAAGTATTATTTACTATGTTTAAAGTAAACGAACTATATCAGTAAAAACTTTGTACTGTCTACTACTATGAAAAAAATATTAGAAATCCGAAATATATTTATTTTTCGTATTAAAAAATGAACTTTTTGAAACCCTTGCATTTTTGCCGTATATCCCATAGGGGTGGGAATATGGCTATTCATAGGAGGAGGGGTACGGCTCGTGAAAAAATTTACAAATAATACTTTTATAAGCAAATAAGACGTAAAATGACACAATAACTTACAAAATGCGTTTATAAAGTTTCATTAAGGAATAAGAATGATAAATATGTATATGAAGTAATAAATAATAATTACAATCTTCCTATATATATTACAAGTGTTGACATGAGGTAGGGGAGACCGGAAATAGTAGACTCATTTTTCAGTTTCGAATTTTTATAGACGAAATTAAGAGACTTATCGAAAAAATGAATTCTACGCCAGTTACTACATACATTTGACTATCTAATAATATTTTAATAATAAGGGAAAACTGATAATTACTATGAAAAAAAATGCATTTTTCTAATGGATTCCATCTGATTTAATTAGTTCCGGGACCGGGGTAAGATTGATGGTATGGGGTAATTAGATTAACATTATTAAAATGAAGATTAATAAATATTTTAAAGTACATCTTTGGCTACATAATAATAAAAATTTTATAAAAATGTATTTAAACACAAACATATTTATTATAAAATAAAAAATGTATAACTTTGTACTAAATGACAATTTATCTAATCCAAATCGTTATCCGAATTACAGTTATAACAAACATAATATACGATAAGTTACCTTTTAGAGTACCCACACACATGTTCACAAAATTATCCTTTTAATTATTCTTAATATTTTCACATTATTATTACTACTTCTATTACACTTAAAAATAATTTTACAAAAGAAAGAAGGATGTATGAACATATATGGATATGTTTC